CGTCGTTTTCTTCGTTTGTCATCACGCGTCGCACGTTGGAGCACAGATCTTCCACCGATCTTTCTTGTTTCCACGGGCTTGTTCGTTGGACGGTCGACCGCTGTCGTTGGTTTGTTGCCCTTTGAACGGCCCTTACATGKCCGACCTGCTGCACAGGCTGCCTCTGCTGCTCCTCGTCGTGGTGCTGCTTCTCGTCGTTGTCTTCTTCCACGTGTGTTTCGTCGGCCTCGTCCCGCTCGCGGCTCGCAGAAGGAGATCTTCCAAGAAAGCCAACAGGAGGGATCGACGAGTGGCTAACGGTAGACCTGCAGGCACAACCTCCGGGGCGAGCAATAGGCAACGCAGTGCGGGGTCTGTATCGAAGCAGCCATACGACCCGAGGTTGTATGCTCACCTGCCTTCTCACGAGATTCCTCTGCCGCCGTCGGATGACGAGGGGGAAGACGTCAGGTCGTCGACTTTGCCGTTGGGAAGTGGTTTGACGCAGGAATGGGCAGCGACGCAGTCGCACAGCGGCAGGCGGGTGGAGACCCCGTGGTCTTACACGTCACTGCTGAACGAGGGACTGTGCGACGACGACGGCAATGCAGCGGTTGATCTCAGCTTCCAGTTGTCCACCAGCAGCGGAGCAGCGACAACGCACACTCGGATCATCAATCCCCACCCAGGCAGGGATTGCGCGGACAACACGCATGGTGGTGTGTCCGGGGCACGAGACGGCGGTCTGCCTCAATCGCTTCGCGAAGGAGGCGGTAATTGAAACGAGTCATCGACGACTGTCGGAGGAGGAGTCGGTGCGGATGAACGTCCGGAGTGGTTGCGCTTGTCACCTGCGTCGCTAAGTGGATCCGGGACTCCTCGAGGACGGCAGCGCCCGAAGGATTTGCGTGACGGAGGTGCGCATGTGCAACGCGACGGCAGGCAGTTGTGGGCAGAGTGCAGGCAGGCCTTGCGTCAAGGTGGAACGGAGACAATCACGAGAGGGGTGCAACGGCTCCACGTCGACGAAGGCGACAAAGCGGCTGTTGACGAGGCCCAGGGGTGTGACGAGGTTGACAGTGACGACGATTGCAACTCCGACGATTTGCCAGACATTAGGCCGCTTGGGCAAACGGCGGAGCGACTGCGAAGAAGGGTCCCGCTACGAAAAACCAACGGAATAAGAAAATGGATGACGACACAGGCCGGAGCGATGGCGAGGGCGGCCGAAGTTTCTGGTCGGTGGGAGACACGATCGCACTCGTCAGGGCGAAAAGGGATCAAGATCTGTATATCGCCGGCATGGACACCAGTTTCGCCCGCATAAAAACGAGGGAGTGGAAGTGGGGGGACGTGCGYGCGAGGTTGCAGACGATGGGCGTRACGAGGGAGGCCGTCGACTGCGGGAAGAAATGGGACAACTTGATGCAGCAATTAAGAAGGTCCACAAGTTCCAGAACCTATCYGGCGGGAAGGACTACTTCAAGCTCGCTTKRAAGGACAGGYGATCGGAGGGCTTCAGCTTCGTCATGGACCGGAGCGTGTACGACGACATGGAGGCCATGACGAAGGGGGATCACACGATCCACCCGAAGAATTTGGCG